TTTTTAACATCAATTGGTTAGAACACCGAGTTCTATAAGATAAAAATTACAGTTTCGAAATCCATCGGTCTAATGAATCTAAAATCATGCATCAATTTCTCAGTTTCTATGAATAAAGAATATAAATGATAGAATTGATTTCTGAAAGTGTTTTTTTTCTTCTAACTTTATACTTAATGATGATGATATTAATCTAGTTCGTAACTAAGATCAAAATTTATGTGAACAAAATAAATGGAGCAAATGAAAATGAAATAGAAATAAAAGCAGGGAATTGATAAACCCAAGCCCATTCCCTGGATTCGGTCAGAGGAAGAAAGCAAACGCGGGAAGTTTCAGAAACGAAGGGAGACACAGAAATCGGCCCATGGACTTTTAACTCCAATCTTAAATCGTCAGAGTTAGCCATCGTAGCAAGCCAACTCGCTCCAATCTGAACTACTCAGGATCCCCAGCTCACCCCAAACCAGATGAGGAAACAATCTCCTCTTCGTTCGAGGCTCTGATCCGAGTAGAGTAACTGCAAATCTGATCTAACGCCACACACATGAAGCACTTTACCCTGATTTCACCTTCAGTTTCAGCTCAGAAAACCCACCAAAATCCACATCTCCCGTCGAGGTAACTCTCTCTTTCTCTCTCTCTCCAGCAACAGAGTGACAGAGATATGCATAACTCATACATTAGCTCAACGGTACTATCACTTAGGAGTAAAGGGTCTTTCTCATTTTCAATCAATGACTACTCTAACTTACTGAGTGAAAGATTTGATACAACCCCGTCATCCTCATCTAATTGTTGTTCATGCTGCTCTTGTTGTACATCATGTGCCACCCATAATAAGTTGTATATAAACCCTTGCTTTGTGCCTGGGTTGAGGCAATCCACACTTATTCAGTGGCGTACTCGTAGAAGAAGGTTGGTCTTGGCTGGTGGGAACGGTTACTTTTATCGCTTTCCAGTTTATGATCTTGATAGAGATTATTACCAGGTATCTTGTTCTGTTAAGGAGAGCTATGGTTGTGGAACTACTGACAGAAGGACTGGGAGATTTAGATGCAGGGTTTTCGAGGAAAAGAATGATGGGTATCAGTTAGATTGTGTAGATGATGCCGAGGCTGTAATTAGCTTGTTGAGTGAAGAACTCGGGGAGGAATGTTTAGGTAGTAGGGAGAGAAGTGAGATTTCATATAAGAAAGTGGAGGTGAAGAAGAGAAGCAAACCCAGAGGCGAATGTTACCTCAAGAATAACAAGAGAGCAGAAGTGGAGAGGAGATTGAATTCAGGTAAAAGAGGCTATAGAGGAAATAGAAAGAGAGTAGAAATAGGGAGCAAAGAGGATAATGGTCATGAAAATTATGAGGGAAAGAAGTTAACTTTTGAGTCAGACTTGTTGGAGAGTGACTCGAGGTGTCAATATGGTTCAGTCACATTGCAATCGAAAGGGGAGGTTCATGGCAGGAATGAAGACAGGGAAGATTCCTCGAGAGAGGAAGGTCATCGGGGGAGGAGGAAAAGTTCTAGTTGTTCATCATACTATTCATTTTCATCTTTGGAGAACTTTGAAAGTGACACAGAAGTTAAGGATGAGGATTTCGGATTTGTGGAAGAAGTTTCAAGCTCAATTGATGACTTAGGAAGTGGTACAGGGGGTCAGTCTGAGGTTCGAGCTCTTGAAGAATTTAGAAGACATAGGAGTGATAAGGCTGCAGGTGAGGAAATTTTAGAACAGAAGTATAGTGCAGCAGGAAATAATATTGACCGGGATTCCCCAAAAATGTTAGAAAAGAGGCTTATTGAAGTAACAGTTAGAGAAAAACAATCTAGAGAGGGATCTTCAACTAAAGAAGGAAAAATGTTAAGGACTAGTCATGAAGGATATGTGAAGGCCTCTAGTCCTCAAAAGCATTTTGGTGTTGATGAAAAGGAATCAGTTTTTACTGTGAATTTGGACCACAGAAGAAAAAAGCAGCATATACAGCAGATCTGTGGTAATGATGCTAAAATGATCACTCATTCACAAAAGCGATTTAGTGGCAGAGAAGAAAAGATGATGGGGAGTGGACTCAGATCTGGGAAAAAGAACCGAGCATTCAGTTGGCTATGTTGATGA